TTAAGGCCAAGATAATTCTTTTTTTTTTTTCTTGATACCACTAATCCTTTATTTTTCTTCAAATTTATTTTCTTAAACTATGGTTTGAGTGTAAGTTAACAGAACAAATTTATTTTCCATCCAACTATTTATACCCATTTTTTTATATTCATTATAATGCCTACGCTAAAACCACACTCTTTTCACTTGTGTACCTCTCCATACAATCCGTTTCTTTTTTTTTTTTTTATCATTATTATTTTGTTATGTGTGTACCATCAAATCGGATCTGACTGGCACAGGCGGAGACTGTCCCTTCCTCTCCAGCAGAGCATCTGGTGGACCTGAACCGCACACCTCTGGGATTGCAGTGCAGCTTCCCACCACCAGGCCACCAGAGCTCGCCACAATCCCTTTCTTTAATGATATTATGCTGATCATCCCTTAGGGTAGATTTCTTTTCCTATCATCTATTTTAATATTGTTGTTGTTAGTCATTGTAATATATGTCTGTTACAATCCTGGGGAACTCTGATGAGCTCAAGCAGTCAGCCAAGCGCAGCTCCATTTGGTCTAAAATGGGGAGTTCTGAGCAACGGAGCTGTGACCGTTAGAGGTTCCTGTGAATGGCATGTCTCCCTCTCACAAAAATGGCCCGTCTCTGCAGTGTCTTTTCTTCTTCTTTCCCCTCGCACTCCCCCAGCAGGGTCCCTGCCACCCCACCAGCAGGGCCCTGCCACCCCACAGCAGGGCCCCTGCCACCCCACAGCAGGGCCCCTGCTACCCCACAGCAGGGCACCTGCCACCCCACCAGCAGGGCACCTGCCACCCCACCAGCAAGGCACCTGCCACCCCACCAGCAGGGCACCTGGCTGGCTGTTTTGCTAGAACAGGCTGAGGGCAGGCCAAGCCTGTTATTGGCTCTGTACTTTCCCCCTCATTAGTCCTCACTCTGAGACAGCTCTTCTGCATCCCCCGGCCTCCCCGTCCCCATGTAAGGCTTCTTTGTCCTCTTCTGCATGATCTAAACACTGAGGAGAGAGGAAGGGGCTCTAGGAAAACTCTGTTACCCTTAGAAGATCAGTGCCCAGATGCTCATGGGTGCAGTATGGAAAGAGTTCACCTTGTCGGTCCTCATTGCTTAATTGGTTTTCAATCAATAAAGTTCCCTGCACCCTAAACTAACAATAAATAAGGGTCTAAGCCAAAATTTTGGGTAACACTGGGTTAAAGACATTACACACATTATTTACTGGGACCCTTTAAGAAGGAGCTCTGGCAATGCAGTATTTCAGCCAAACAGGTTTATGGGTTGGACTTTTTTCTATTTAATCCTATTTAGCACCCAAGGAAGGTCATGGATGTTTACATTCATGTCGTGGATGTTTTAGATATTCTGTAAGGCTCTGTGCTAAAGTATATATATCCATATATATATATATATATATATATATTTTTTTTTTTTTTCATGGAGTCTGAACCATCTCATAGCCAACAATCCAGTGGATTTTCAGAGGCAGTAACTTGCATGGGAGGAGATTGCCCATCTTTCTCCAGCAGAGGAGTTGGTGGATTTGAACTGCATGCCGTTGGGTTGGCAGTGCAGCCCCTTACCACTAAGCCACCAGAGCTTTCTGGAGAGGGCCTAGGGCCGCATTAATTCAGCCTCAGGACCCAAGGGTAGAATAGTTAGGGTTACTGAAGTTGATATTCTTTCCACATTAATCTAAATGACCACTAGGTGGGGTGGTTTCCCAGGGGAACTGCAAAGTAGTTTTCCAAAGTAGTAATTTGCCCTTTTCTTTCCTCCCTTGAAAATGTAGAATTCCAGGCAGACTTTACAGCCCTGGGGAAAGTATCCTGCCTCTTTTGGCTCCGTCCTGACCTCTCCTAACTCTGTCCCTCCTTCGGTGAGCTCGTCTTTCTAGTTGGACATTGTAAATGAAAACTTAGTATACACACAATGGAATAATGCTGTGCAGCACACAGGAGCAATGATTCTCTAAATTATGACCTAACTTGGGAGGGACCGGAGAGCATTATGCTGAGTGAACTAACTTAGTCCCACAAAGATAAACTATTGTATAAAACCATTATTGTAGAATGAGTACAAGGATCCAAGCGGAGTGGGAGAGGGTGGAAACAGAGGGAGGGGGGGATTAATCATCGGGTGTACAATTTGATGGGGGAGGGTTGAGGGAAATTGAAAGAATTTGTTTTTAAAAACAGTGCATTCAAATTTTATAAATAAACTGGTTGTTTTTGTTGTTATGTGCCGTCGAGTCGCCTGCAACTCATAGCAGAAAAGAAAAAGAAAACTTAGCATAGAATTTTTTTTCTTCTTTAAATAGAACGTACTCCCTTCATATGCCAGGAGAGTGAAAAGGTTGGGAAATGAGGATTAGACTTTGTTAGCTGTCTTTGAGTCAGTGTTTCAATACTTGATTGCGTTTTAGGTAAAAGTCTACACAGCAGATTTGTTTTCCATTCAACGATTCATACTCAGGTTGTTCCCTGACATTCTGGGTGTAGCCCTTGAAGTGTGTCAGCACTTTCCCCTTTTCCACCCTGCCCCCCCCTTTCCATCCTTCCTCTTTTCCCACCTGGCTGTGTCTGTGCCATCTCCTCCTAGCTCTTGGGCACATATTGCCTCTGTAGTCTGTGGTAGTTTTTCTTGAGTCAGTTCAGGCTCCCTGACCCCCAAGTGGATCTGCTCCTTTGGGCTTTCAACCCTGTGACCTTGTGGAAGCAGATCAGCCTGTCTTCAGATGCAGCTCTGGGTGGGTTCAAACCCTCAACCTTTTTGGTCACTCATAGGGTGAATAATCATTTGCATCACAGATGGACTTTTATTCATTAATGTGCTAAAAACAAATGTTTTTCAGCTATCATAAGGGGAGATAGTAAGACAAAACAGAAAACTATGGAAGGGAAAAGAGAAGAGGAAGAAATAAAGCAGAGAGGACGAGGCAGCAGGATGGCAGCGGAGGTTAGCACACTCGGAGGTGAGTGGTGCTCAGGCCACGCTAGGCAGCGTCTCTTGGACTGTGAGGTTGTGCACTGCTTTTGAACTGTTCCGGGGCCAGTTCGAGGCTCTCCAGCAGCTCTGGCCCTTTCATTTTTTTTTTTTTTCATTTTTTAGCATCCCTTCAATCTTTTTTTTAAAATTGAGATTTTAATGAAAGATCATAGAGGACTTGGATTTCCATTCATTCATTGTTACACATTTTCCTCCCTGCCCACTCCTCTCCCCCAGTTCACTTTTCTCTTTGAGAAAAAGAAATTTCTTTCATTGTTATACAGTTCTCCCCACCCCCAAGTCCACTTTACTGTACAGCTCTTATTCTGGATTCTTGCCATGCACATAATACCTAATCATATATTCCTTTTCAACAGTTCTCTCTCTCATCTGTTTCAATGCAGTGTCCATTCTTTATCCCCTCTTTTCTTAGTTTCCCCTCAAGCCCGATGTCAGTCTTGTTTTATAACAGTGGCATTATGCAGTATTTGTCCTTTTGTGATTGAGATATTTCACTTAACATAATGTGCTCCAGGGTCACTCATTTTGTATAATTTCATGCTGTGTAGTATTCCATTGTATGAGTATACCACAGCTTCTCTGTCCACTCACTTGTTGGTGGGCACTTGGGTTGTTTCCAACTCTTTGCTATTATGAACAGAGCCACGATAAACATCGGTGTGCCCTTTCATTTTCTTTAGAGGCTTTTCTAAGTGAGCGGTTTCCTCTGAGTGCAGCCATAGTGATGGGAGTAGCTTCTCCCTGCGGGGAGGCTGGAAGCCAAGCGTTGATTAGAGTCCCTGGTGACAGAGTCACATTCTCACATGGGCTCTTACCAACCCACATCTCCCGGCTCTTGTAGTTTGTTTCATTCCTGGTAACCTAGATCTTTACTGCTCTGACAAGGATGCACTAATTAACATGGGTCTGAGTTTATTAAGAGATGCAGATTCTCAGGCCATTGATTTCCAGAAAAGAAATTCTTCTGCTCACATCAGAGTGTGAGGATTGGCCTACAACCTTCCAAATGAACTTCTGAAATATAGCATTCAAGTCTAGAACTTAAACATATGGCCCCCTTTAGAGACACTGATTTTCCCCATGTCTTTCATCTTCCAGTTGTTAAAAAGGTACATTATTGTGATCTTGTATCTTGATTGCCAGGTGAGATTGTCCTCTTCCCATTTTGTGGGGCTCTTGTGCCTTCAGCCAATGTCTCCAAATTTCCTGAATCTTACTTGAGGAATCCCTGCAAACAACTATTAAGGGTCCTGGTAGGTAACCTCAAGCAGTAATAAAACCAAAACCACACCTGATGCAGGTTAATTCCGCCTTGCAGTGAACACCCTGTTGATATCTTCGTGGGAGGAAATTCCCCATCTGTCCCTCATAGAGTGGCTGGTAGATTCAAACTGCCAACCTTTCCCTTGGCAGCCCAATACATTACATACTCTGCCACCAGGGCTTCTTGAAGCAATAACAGAGTTCGAGGTTCCCTTTTCTGTGGAGAGTGTGGTCTGACGTCTGAGAGCCTTCCTGACTGTAAATAAGACTGTAGATGAACTGTAAAATGCCCCATGTTTTCCTAGTTTTGGCAAGATTGAAATGGCCTCTTTTCCTGAGTGTTTGGCCCTAAGTGAAGAATGAAAAATGTCCACTTTGTCATTTCTTGGTTTCTGGGCCAGGGTTAGGTCATAACCTTTTTGTGTTTGTTCACTGGGCTCTGGGCCCCGAGGGAAGGAAGGGTCTGGCCAGGGTTTGGATTCAAGCAGCCAGTGCTGGTCAGTACTAAGTGTCTGGTGGACAAATGGATGGGTGCGTATGAATGAAGGAATGTTCTCAGTTGAATGGAAATGAATGATAACAAATCTTTGCTTGCTTTCAAGTTGTTGAGATAGGTTTTCTGGGCTGGCAAGGAGGAGGGATTTTGAACCATTCTCCTCTTGTAACAACAATGTCTTTGGACAGTGGTGAAAAGACTCTCCCTCTTTAATCTTTATAGATGGCAGTTGAATTCCTGCATGAACTCAATGTTCCGTTTTTCAAAGTCGGATCTGGGGACACTAACAATTTTCCTTATCTGGAAAAGACAGCCAAAAAAGGTAAGTATGTTTCATTCTTGTAATACAATCCAAGGGAGTGGGATTTTACTTTTATTCCTTTCGTGGCAACCCCCTTTTGAGGAAAATCTTACAAAGACAGACTGTAGAATCCTCCTAAATCAGCAAAATATGTTGACTTGCAAAGAATGAAACCAGGCATGGGACAGTGCCTTACAAACCTAAGAGGAAGCTGTGGTTTTGTTAAAAGAATTCTGTAGATACAATACCCAGTGTCTGCTTTGTAAAAATAATTCTGTAGCTATAAAAAAAAATAATAATTCTGTAGCTATAACACCCAGTAGTCTGCACAGGACGTTGTCGTTTGTAAAGTGTTTTGATAATGTGAATTTGGTCCTCATCACCACTCTGGGGCTGAATCCTTTCAGGCCTTATCATTATCATGTTTTATGATCTAACTCGTTGCTGTTGAGTTGGTTCTGACTCTTAGCCTCTCCCTTTTGAGTTCCTGAAGCTGTAAATCTTTACAGGAGACTTACCAAGAAGTGGCTGATAGATTGGACCCGCCAACCTTTGGTTTAACAGCCTGGCTTGTTATGTGCCACATGGCAGTGGGGTTGGGGGGAGTGGGTTGTTTTTTGTGGTCCCCCCCTTACATAGGAGCCCTAGTGGCAGCATGGGTTAAGTATTGGGCTTCTAATCCGAGGAGCAGCTGTTTGAGCCAACTGGCTTCTCTGCAGGAGGAAGATGAGGCAGTCTATTCCTGCAGTCTCCTCTGCCTGTGGGGCTGCTGTGTGGCACTAGGTGGGTTAAATGTCCACAAGAGAAGCATCTGAATGCCAGAGGACAGTGTTCTTCCTCAGGAGCTGGGAAGTAGCAGCTCTGAGTCTCATACTCACTCACAGTCTTGACTCTGGAACCAGTGCTTACCCTTCTTTACTGTCAAACTAAAAAACCCCTCTAGCTGATTGCCATTGAGTCAGAAGTGATGCATAGCTGACCCTCCAGTGGATTTTTCGGGGCTGTAAATTGCACTGAAGATTGCCCATCTTTCTCCCAAGAAGCAGCTCTTGGGTTCAAACTTTCTCTGAGTTGGCAGCACCCCTCCTTATCCCCTTGGCCACCAGAGCTCCCCTAGTGCACAGCCGTCTAAATCACTGAGGTGCTCCTTAGTCTAAGTTGTGTGAAATTTCCTCAGCTTCCTTAGGTTCATTTGGCTAAATAGTCATATGGAAGGGGAACCCCCACCCCATCTCTGTTCCCGACAGTGTTTGGCATAGTGCATGCCTGAGGAGATTCTTTAAATGAGGAGATGAACAGTTGAGGTGTGGTTGCGAGTTGAGCACCATGAAAGAATGGAATGGTGTTGTTCTTGGGTCCCGCAGGTCGTCCAATGGTGATCTCCAGTGGGATGCAGTCAATGGATGTCATGAAACAAGTCTATCAGATTGTGAAACCCCTCAACCCCAACTTCTGCTTCCTCCAGTGCACCAGTGCGTACCCACTCGAGGCCGAAGACGTCAACCTGCGTGTCATCTCGGTGAGCAGGGGGGGCTTATGGTTGTTAGCCGACCAGATAAAACAAATTGATTTTTTCTAGAGCCATTTACTGGGGGAAAGACATAGTCATTTTTATAACCTACAATCTGTTCAACTATGACGTACTTCTGGCTTGCTGGTGACCTTGTGGTTAGGAGTTATGCTACCAATCCAAAGCCACATGGTTTGAATCCTGGGCTGTCTTCTTCCATGCAGTTTATAGCCTCTGAAAACTCACTGGAGAGTAAGCCACGAGCTCCAGCTCAATGGCAGACAGGAGCAGGAGCTCTGCTGACTTAGTGGTAAGGCGCTGCACCGCCAACCCACAAACACACAGTTCAAACCTACTAGCTGCTCCCAAGAAGAAAGATAGTCTCCTCCCCTGTGAAAACTCACTGGAGGGTAAGATATGAGTTGATTCCGACTCTCCAGAACTTAACAACAACTTGACATATTTTCACATTGAACATCCTTTGGAAGCTGTGTTAGTTTCCTAGGAGTTCTGGAAGTTAATAGTCCAAAGCAGGATATTGGCCACGTAGATTCCTTCTAAAGGCTCTGTGAAAGAAATCGTCCCAGCTTCTGATAGCTCCAGGTCCTTGGCTTGTAGCTGCAGTATCACATGGTTCCTTTCTCTGTCTCCCTATCTCAATTTATCTTCTCTTACATAAATGTCAGTTTAATAGGCTTAGGACCAGTCTGACTCCAGTAGACCACATGTTAACTTCGTTGTTGGCATCGTCACAGACTCTTTCCAACAGGGTTATTGTTATGAAAAGAAGGTGCCTACAACTGAATTTTTAAAGACACTCATTTTCTTCCATAATAAAACTTGTAGAATGAGGCTGACATCAGGGTAGGGGTAAGACTGGGAAAAACTGGATAAATTATGTTTACTGCATTGAAGCCGATGAGGGAGAGAATAGTTTAAAATTAATATATTTTAGGGCATTATGATTATCATAAGAGTCCTGGAAGAGGGTTGCAGAGTGGAGTATACTTGGAGGGGCGGGGGATTGTGTACCAATGAGGGAGTTTTTCTTTTGCTTTTCAAGGAGAGGAGCAAACTGGGGGTGGGCGGGGAGAAAAGTGCAACAATGAATGAATGGAATTAAAAAATCTCTGTAGATGTTCATTGAAATTAACAATAATAATAAAAAAATTACGAATGGAAATGAAAACAAACACACCAACCTTGGGTATACATTTCCTTTGCTGTTTGTACTGGCCACTAGGGGGCCATATCCTTTCTCAGTTGAGTTGGCGGACCCTCCACCTTTTAGGCTTGAGGCCATTTTTCAAGAACTGGTCCCTTCTGGCAACACGGCCAAAGCACTCTCTGCTCTTCTTCCAAGAAAGTTTGTATGCTCTTCTAGCAGTCCATGGTAAAGTATGTACTCTTCACCAGCACAATTCAAAAGCAGCAATTCTTTGGTGTTCTTTATTCATTGTCCAACTTCCACATCCATATGAAGAAATTAAATCTACCATGAGGGAGCTCTGGTGTCCGCGGGGCAAGAAGCTGTGCAGCAATCCTGAAGGTGCACGGTTGAAATCCACCAGATGGTCCCTGGAGAAAGAGGGGCAATCTCCTCTTGGTGCCAGTTGGATCTGATTCCACGGTACACAACAAGGAAAAATAAAAGCATAAACAAAACAAAACAAAAACCCTACCATGTAATGCACACAGAAACGTTCTAGCAGCACTAATTGTTGTTGTTGTTGGGTACCATTGAGTTGGAACTAAGCCATAGCTGACCCTCCAGTGAGTTTTCAGAGGCAGTTAATCACACAGGAGGAGATTGCCCATCAGCCTCCTGCCAAGGAGCAGCTGGTGGATTCGAACCACATGGTGCTTCAGGATTGCAGTGCAGTTTCTTGTCACTAGGCCACCAGTGTTCCCTAGAGCACAAACAGAATTAACAGCACTAATAGAATTCTAAATTTTGAAAATAAACTAGTTTTCCTTTTATACTTTTAATAAATAACATATTTGGTGTTGTCTTTTTCATTAATAATGTAAGGGTTGTTTTTTTTCTTTTTTCACATGCTGCTATACAGTCTTCACATTTAACTTTTTAAAAATGGAATTTTTTTTAAAAGAGACTGTTATAGGGAGCTCTAGTGGCCTAGTGGCAAGAAGCTGCACTGCAACCACAGAGGTGCGCGGTGTGAATTTACCAGATGCTCTGCTGGAGAAGGGGAAACAATCTCTTAGACCTAATTTGATGGTACACACACACACACACACACAAAAAAAAGAATATTTTTTTTTAAAAGAGACTGCTATTTATTTACCTAAAACTTTGTGGTGCTTCCAAATCCTGATATTTTTTTCTACTTCTACTTCATCTCTCTCACTCACATTTTTAAAAAACATTTGAACATGTTATTTTATGAAAAAAATTGAAACAAGTTTAAAGTGTCTAACGTGCAAGTGAGCCTCCTCTGTCACCACCCTCCTCAGAGATGATCATAATTAAGTTTAATGTATGTGACACATCAGGCTTTTTCCTTGATGTATTTTTCCTTCCGTTGTCATCCGAGGCCTCATCATAGTCTTGATGTTAACACATGGAGAGAGTAGTTTTTCATCTCTTCTTGGGACCAGCCCACCCATTGTTTTATAATAATCTTGCATGATAATTACTCTAGCATGTATACATTTTCTCCTAATTAAGTTGCAATTTTAGGTGCCACGGGGAGGAACTAATGGGTTATCCTGAAGACAGTGACAGACAGAGGATTAGACCTGTGCCAGGTTCTAGTCCCAGTTTAATATCCCGGCCTGGCAGTCAGTACACTTCTTGTCTGTCGTGCACCTTAAGCCTGGTCCTGGAGGCCTTTGCCACCCAACTGACCTAATTTTTTATTCACTGCCTTGAATCTTCCTACTATATTCAAGCCTTCTGCTCACCCCTACTGACGAAACTCACTCGATACATAATGTCTTTGGTGCATTCAGTGAATTATAGATAACCAATTAAATAATTACTTAGCATTTCCACCAGACGGCTGTTTTGAGATTGAGTTCTGTATTTTTTTTTGAGTTCTGTATTATTGATGATAATATTTGTGCATATAGTAACTCAAGCTAATTAAGCATGACAGATGCTTTCTGAATGAGTCTAGGCATTTGGTTTTAGTTGTGTTAATACAGTATAAAACATTCTTAAAATGCATTCCTTAACCCGGCGTTCGGTTCATCCCGCAGCACCAGTTCTGCTTACCAAAAGTGGCCCACTAGGCACTCACATTCCAATGAGCGTCGGCATTGGGCGCCTTAACCTGGCGAAAAATGCATTCCTAAATGATAACAGTGGCCTTCTCCCCACCCCCACCCCCCCAGCATTTGCTGTGTGCTAAGTGATTTTCGACATCCTAACAGATGGAGAAAAGACTGGCATTGTCAGCGATTTCGTCTTACTTGGATCCACAGTCTGTACCCTTGGCACCAGCAGTCAGGAGATCAGGACACATATATCACTGGGAAAGGGCTGTCAGGGACCTTTCCAAAGTCCCGAAGAGCAATGATGTTAGTTTAAAGACGAGGGTGCACCTGATCCAAATCATGATCTTTTCCATGAGCTGCTATGCATCTGAAAACTGGACAGTGAATAAAGACGACAGAAGACAAATCAATGCCTTTTACTTGTGGTACTGGAGAAAAGTACTGAATATCTCATGGACTGCCAAAAGAACAAACAGCTATGTCTTGGGGAAAGGGCAGCTGGAGGAGGATGTTGAAGCTTCTTCTCACACACTTTGGGCATGTTGCTAGAGGAGGCTGTTCTTTAGAAAGGGACATCTTGCTTTGGAAGATGCAGCATCAGCAAAGGAGCGGAAAGCCCTCAGGAAGCTCGATTAATGTGGTGAAGATGAAAGGACAGCGAAGGATAGGACAGGGTTCAGATCTTCTGTTCATAGGCCTTTAAGTAGAGCTATAAGTCATGCTCTACTCGACGACACTTAACAACAGGAAGAAGTGCTTTTTGTGCATTTATAGCAACCCTAGACAGCATTATTACCTATAAGAAATACTCACCATCAGTATCTTGCCCATAGCTGCTGTTAGGGAGTAGCCGACCTGGAACTCCTACCTAGATCTGTTTAACATAAGTCACTGTGGGTTTGCATAATCACTGTGCTCATTAATCATTCCTTTTTTTTTCTTTCTGTGGTTTTTTTCTATTTTAAAGGAATATCAGAAGGTCTTTCCTGACATTCCCATAGGATATTCTGGGCATGAAACAGGGATTGCAATCTCTGTTGCTGCAGTGGCTCTGGGGGCCAAGGTGTTGGAGCGTCACATAACTTTGGACAAGACCTGGAAGGGTAGTGACCACTCAGCCTCTCTGGAGCCGGGAGAACTGGCTGAGCTGGTGCGGTCTGTGCGCCTCGTGGAGAGGGCGCTAGGCTCTCCAACGAAGCAGCTACTACCCTGTGAGGTGGCCTGCAATCAGAAGGTGAGTTCTTCCCAGCCCACCTGCCCTAAGAGAGGGGCAGTGGACTTACCTGAGGAGTGGGGTCAACACCAACCCTTCTTGAGCCCAGGCTGGTGATAAAAAAATGTTGCTCCAACCTTGCTGAATGTCTTTGGGTTGGTATTTGTAGTTGGAATAATTTTTTGCTTAAGGGAACTTCATTCAGCCGCTTTATGACTCATAACTGACTGATGTTAGTAAACCCCTGAGATGTCTGACCCCTGTAATTTATAAAGGTTGAGGAGGAGGTGATAGTGGTATCCAGACTTTTTAAGACACTTGGGTGGTTTGAGTCTGGCCGCCCCTTGAAGGGGATAAGTCTTCAGAAACATTCATGGAGGCAGGTTCCCATTCTTTAGGTGGTCCAGGCCTCGTTGGCTGGGAGCACTAAGTCACTCCCTAAGCAGGGCGGTGCTGCTGCCTGGGAGCCATGGCTCAGCCCCTACAGGAGGCCTGGGGCGGCTGGAAGCCTGAATGGTACCCTGCTAATCTTCACAGTTGTTTGACAAGATATGCTGTTGTTAGGTGCCACAGAATACAACTCATAGAAACCCTGTGAACAACAGATCTGAACCCTGCCCTATATCCTGTGCCACCCATCATCCTCAACAAGTTATAGGTACTTTTATTTCCCTTTTTCCAGAGAAGTTGAAGCATAGTCTGAGATCACACTACGTAGTAACTGACTAAGCTGGGATTTGAACCTGGCTCTATTTATACCCTGAGCCCTTTAAAGTAAAGATTTCTCCTCTGAGTCTGGATTCATCCTATACTTGCTGAGTCCTTGCTGTTTTGGGATATTATCTGAGCTTCCATGGGGCTACCAAAGCCTCTGTTCTCAGGGTACCTTATGAAGAGTCATCAGGAAACTTGAGTATAAAGCAAATGTGTGGTTGTCTCTTCTGTGATGCTACTAATGTTTTGATTTTTTTCTGCAGCTGGGTAAGTCTGTGGTGGCCAAGGTGAAAATTCCAGAAGGCACCGTTCTGACACTAGACATGCTCACTGTAAAGGTGAGTGAGCCGAAAGGGTGCCCTCCTGAAGACATCTTTAATCTGGTGGGCAAGAAGGTCTTAGTCACTGTTGAAGAGGACGACACCATCCTGGAAGAATCAGTAGAAAATCATGGTAAAAAAATAAAAGTTTAAGTTCAAGTGCCATTTCTGAATTCTGTATTGCCTTGTTGGTCCTGTTGGGTGTATGGGGTGGGTGGGAGTCTTCAGAGACCTGACTTCTGTCCACTACCCCAGCCCTTAGGCAGTAGAGATCAGTAGGCCAGGCCTAATGCCTCCATCGATGGCAGAGGGGAAATTGGCTGCTGCTTCAAATTGACCAACCAGAAGGGAAAGGCAGATTCAAAAGCAAATAATTCTTGCCGGGCTGCTCCGTGCACACACAGAGGAGGGAGAGCTGGCCGTGTGAATCCTCATTAAGCTTTCTTCCTCACCTCCTCACCTTCCTAGTCTCACTTCCCTACAGACCTCTGCAAGGCTGTCCCTCTAACTGCCACTGACTCAGTCCCATGTGCTCTGTGTCATTGGCTCCTGATAGCAGCCACTCTGCATTAGACAAGTGATTGTCAGTGGGTCCTGTAGGCAGGCAAATGCCAGAAACCTCATATATCTGTGAGTAGAGAAGAAGTAGCAATCATGCTTTCAGTAAAAAGCAAGGGCCTACTCTCAACTAGACACTCAGTACCTAAGATAGAGCAGTAGAGCCCCAAGACCCCGCCCAGTGGAGCTTCCACCCCAGCAGGGAGCAGATATCCAATAAGCCCTGTAGGTAGTAGGTGGGGGGGATCATACAGAGTATAAGAAGGTGATATATGTGGTGATAAACGTGTGGGGACCAAACAGAGCAGCAGAAAGGGGACGAAAAGGGTAAGCTCAGGCTTTGCCTATAGAAGAACACTGAAATCTACACAATTGAGCATGTACACAATTTTATGTTACATACCTCTTCAGAGTGCTGAAGAGCAACGATGTCAGTCTAGATACAAAAGTGTGCCTAATCCAGGCCATGGTTTTCTCAGTTACTTGTTATGTTTCAGAAAGATGGATAATGACTAAGGATGACAGAAGAATAGATGCCTTCGAGTTGTGGTGCTGGAGAAGAGTCTTGAACATACCATGGACTGCCAAGAAAACAGATAGGTCTGTCTTGGAAAGGGTGAAATCAGGTCTCCCCTTGGAGGCTAGGATTTTGAGGCTTCGCCTCACTTACTTTGGGCATGTGGCCAGGAGAGATTTGTCCTTGGAGAAGGACATCATGCTTGGAAAGGTGGAGGGACAGCGCAGGAGAGGGAGACCTCAGATGAAATGGATTGATAAAGTGACTGCGGGTGTGTCAGAATTAGACTGGCTTGGGACAGGGAAGGGTTCAGAGCTGCTGTACATAGAGTCACTATACATCGCAGGTGACAGGTTTGGAAGCAGGAGTGGCATCCACTTCCTAAATAACATGCCTTCAGAAACTCTGAACTTTGATAAATGTCAGTAGTTGTAGAGGGGCTTCAGGCCTTTTTTGTTCATAGAGTCGCTATGAGTTGTGCTCGACTCGAAGGCAATCAACATTCTGCAAGATTCGGAGACTCATTGTCATACATTTGTTCTTTTGAGCCCATAACTCTACAGATGTATGCTTGGATTGCTGCTCATATTTATTTGACCTTATTATAATTCATGTTTAAAAGTGTACTTTTGAGATGCCTTTATTTAGAACCACCCCTCTCTAGTGGATTTCAAAACAATTTCTGGAAAGGCATGCATGAGTTGGGGATGGTGGGGAAGGACCCTCTATTGTACTCATAAAAAGACAGCCCATAAAATGGATATGCTAAGCATTGAAGTGTGATAGTACTGATTTCCATCCAGGGTTCAGTCCCCCCTCATTCTTGTAATAGCTGATCTTGGGTAAACAATAAAAATTTCTGATTCTGTAGTCTTTAATGTAGAAGATGATATTTGAGCAAAGATCTTAGATGTCCTGACAAGAAGAGACAGCATAATAATGGAGAGGTACGATCAGGGCAAAACAGGATGTGAAAGGGAGAGAAGGTATGGCCAAGCCTTTAAAGTTAGCAAGTGGTTTCCAACAGGGAACCAGCTGTCTCCAGGCCCGAGTGAAGTGGAAGGGCTGAAGGGCCCATGCTCCTCTAAAGTTGAGCTGGATTTCCTCCGAGGGGGAAGAAACTCAAGAGCTGGGCAAATCCTGAAGTCACAGCCTTAAGTCTGTGTAATGTAAGCATGAGTTCATGTGGACCTCTATCCAGCCAGTACAGCTGGCTCCCTCATTGTCTCCTCAGCTGCTGGTGGGACTCCTGGCATATTTGCCCGTTACGATCAGCAGCTCAGATACAGAACATCCGTGAGCCCTGCTGGGTGGGAGATGCTGTGCCGGGCCTGCACTGAGAAAGCACACAGTTCCTGTGTGGGATCCCTGACCTGCCCCAGTACCTTACAGACTACTATACATGTTACTTGTTGACATGATTACCAGAAGTCATGGGAGCGACGATGGGAAGGTGACTGTGGAGGAGGCCTTGATCAAGGAAGAGGTGGCGTCTTACTTCAGTATTACAGGTTTAGAGGTGACTTAGGGATTGTTCATTTAGGGCACAGTCATTTAGGGACAGGCGCAGAATATCCAAGGATTTGCCAGTAATGATTTGGTGTGGAGTTGCTACAAGAAGTGGTGAAGGAAAGTTTAGGAGGTTGGAGAGTCCATGAAGAATGCCCCAGACCTGCTAAATTGCACTTTGTTATGTAGGCAGTGAGGAGTCAATTCTGAGCAATGCATGGCAAACTCAGCCCCCCACTTTGATGCTTACCAGACCCTCACCGCCCCCACCCCATGCAACCTGGCTCCTTAAACAGCCTGTGCCTTCACTGTAGTATGGATTCTGTGCATCCACTGTCACCTGGACAGTTGCTTCTGTGTGTCCTGCCAGAGGCTAGACTAGCTTGCACTAGGCTGACCTCATTATCTCCTGCCCACTAAGCGTAACTGCAGACATGGAGATGCTACAAATAGGAAAGGTGGTTCTGGGTGTTGTCATGTTGACTATGACAGATCCTAACCCTATGGAGGAAAAAAAATCTGAATTTTGCTTTATGCTCTGCCAAACTAATGGTCTCCGATATAGTCCATTATTACAGTGTCAGCCCATCTTTTTGACAGTCTTCCTCTTTGTGTGACCCTCCACTTCTCCCAGACTGATGTCTTTTTCTAAGGACTGGCCCCTCCTGGCAACATGCTCAAGTATGTGAGTGCAAGTTTTATCATCCTTGCCTCCAAGGAGCACCCAGCTTCACCAGTCTATAGGATATCCAATATTCTCCAACACCACAGTTCAGAGGCGTGGATTCTTCTGTCATCCTTATTCACTGTCCAATTTTCAGATGCATCAGAACACACTGAAATGATCATGGCTTGGATCAGCTGCACCTTAATCTTTAAACTGACATCCTTGTTCTTTAGAACTATAGAAAGGACTCTGATGGCAGATTTTCCCAATCCAAAGATAGAATCCCTGAAATCGCTAAAAACTAGTGCATGGGAAGGAAATGTGAAACACAATGCATATGAACTCTGTATGCAAACCAATATAAAAGAAACATTTTTTAAAAAATAAACTAGTGCATGACCATAGATGGCTTCTATATTGCTAAAGAATGATCACAAGATACTGAAAGTTACAAAGTCTTGGATAGAAACTCAGAGGCAGGCTTTGTTTTCACATAAAAACTTTAGAGGTAATGAGCTCCCCATCACTGTAGATAGATTCAGAGGAATTTAGGGCTATACACTTGAAGCAACGTACATTCCCAATGAAGAACATGACCAAAAAGGACAATATGCATATTTTATTCCAACAAAGCACATATTAGAAAAAATTCATTTAAAGTGTCTGCATATCATTCACCATATCACTAAAATTTCTACAAATTACAAAATCTGAAAGTGATTAAGGGAGGTGGGTCCCTTCTAGGTGTGGATCCCAAGAAAGCTGATCCCGTGGCTCAGGGTATTCAGAGTCTCCTCCTGCAGCCCACGAGCAGCTGGAGACATCCGTGTCTCTGCTGGGGATGCCACTGCTGTTCCTGCTGTGCACCAGCGAGTTGCAACCAACTCAGAGCTGACTGTTCAGCAGTTTTTCAGAGGCAGTAAATCCCACTGGAGGAGCAGCTCCTGCAGAGCAGCTGGTGGTTTCCAACTGTGGGCCTTTGGGTTGGCAGCACAACTCCTTACCACTAAACCACCAGAGCTCCCTTGATAAAGAGATCCAGGCATAAAATAGCACTGGATTGTTTTTAAGGTACACTAATAACATTTGGCTCGTTTAAGCTCACAGCATTGACAGTCAAGTCTTATCACCCTCATTTTATAGATGAAACTCTTGAGTAGTAGTCACCTGAAGTAAGCCAGCTGGGGACTGAATAGTTTTCTGGTTAGTACAGGCCTTGGCACAGAGGAAACATTTGAGCAAAGATTCTTTTTGTCCAGATCTGTTTCTTCTACATGAACTCCAATCTCAACAACTGCACGGAGCAGCCACGGATTAGTCAGACACCGGCTCCAGTCATGTTTCCCAGTGGGGCCTTCTGGGCATGAACACAGATCTGTTCTCATGGCTGGTGTTGGCCCCGGCTCCAAGCTGTGACACCTTGGGCAAGTTACTCAGTCTGTCTGACATGTAGAACTTGGTTAATCAGAGGATCAAAGGGGTTTTTTAAAACATCGAGACAGGGCCTGGCTCTGTAGTCAGCACTGTTCTGTCTTCTGGGAGAGACAGATGGGTTGGGGGCGGGGGGGCAGTCAAGTGCATATGTTTTTCCTACATCTGGAATGTCCTTTGTTGGCCTGTCCGTTCAGCTCTGGGCCATGGCCAGAATAATGAAGAATCCCTTTCCTTGGGATCCCTGCATAATGCTTAGCTGTTGATCCAGCTAGAGATACTTGGGAGGTTCCATCGCACTTGTATTAGACTAGGTTGACCCACATGAAAGTGTCATTTTTAAGTTAAAATGATTGGAAATTAGCCAAGTGTGGTCAGCTTCATTCATGCACTCAATTAAGACTCAGTTTGGCATCATCACCACGCTACCTACTATCACCTGCCCCACGAAGTCCTTAAGATGCTTAATACAATATGGCTTCAAACCATTATCTGCGGCTCTGATAAAATCAAGTGAGATTTCAGACCTGAAGCACAAACCTTGGAGGCCTAACCTTACCTGGCTCTCCCTGTATCAGGGACCTGTTGGTGTGACCGTCTGTATTTCTGCCACTCTTGGGCACTGAGTAGACTTTAGAGGGAAGATTCTTTTTGTCCTTTTAAAGTCCAGATCTGTTTCTTCTACATGACCTCCAATCTCTCACAAGTCCCAGTTCAAGACCAAGAAGAAGCCAATCCCAAGGCAGCATCAGGTCCCATGAATAACTAGAGCATCACAGGCTGGAGGTCCTCAACGACCGCACGGAGCAGCCAAGTACTAGTCAGACAACAGCTCCGGTCACGACAACGGGTGGCACACACCCCATTCTACTTTATTTACTATTTGCTCCAGTACAATTGGGAAAACCAGCTGTCAACTCCCAATTTCTCCCTAAAATTCCTTGAGGAGTTAAGTAGCGAAATCTCTCAGTTTGAAGAAAGTGCCAGGAAGTACTGCAGTTTTCCCCTCCAGGACTCCCAACTAAACAATGAGGTCAGGCTGTGTGATCTCAGAGGCCCTCCCCAGCTCAGCTGTCCTGTGATTCAATGCCTCGAGCCATGCACTCTTCTGAGCTTTTCATGGTGGGAGTGTGTAAGGAAAAGCTGCCCTCAGCAAGCTTCCTGACCAAGCTTGGGCAGGTAGATCCCAGGTTTGTGTCAAGGTACTCTGGTGTGGCATGGTAAACGCAGCAAAGGAAGAAGTGCCAGGGTGAGACTTAGTGACAGTTCTGATCAGGGGGTCATTGACAAGAACAATAGGAACTTGGGCGTGGGACAGTGTTAGACTAGAAAAGCCTTGAATGTTAAGGCAAAGACCTTGGTTTCCCACTCCCACCCCCAGGGCATCTTTAGGGAATTCCTAGTGACATTTTCCAAGTGAAATCTTGGGCTGCTGGCTTAGATTGTAGATGAGGATGGAAAACGACTCAGACCAGCAGGTGTTAGGAGATCCCTAGCTGCTCAGAAGGGAGGTGACATGGATAACCTCAAGGTAGAATGGAGGCAGACCCAAGGGACAGTTAAGGGATAGGAGAGTCAGCCAGTGTCTGAAGCCTCATAGTCTGATCCTTATTCTATCCTTGCATCAGGGACCTGCTGGTTTGACCTTCTGTATTTCTGCCACTCTTGGGCACTGAGTAGACTGTGGAGGGAGATTCTTTTTGTCCTCGAAGTCCAGACCTGTTTCTTCTACATGAACTCCACTCTCTCAAAGCAAGTCCCGGTCCAAGGCCCTCCATGAACTCACACTCTTATACACCTACTATGTGCCAGCCACGGTTCTTGGGGCCTGTGTGGAGGAGATTCTAGGCTAGGATAACGTATTCGGACGAAGTAACAGCTCGCGTGGAGTGGACTGTCACTTTGCTTAGAGTAGTGTCACTGACGTGCGCTCTGGTGGGGTTGATGCAAGGCAAGGCAGAAAGGCCCTGGACGGACGGGACCTCGCGGTGCACGCAGAGCAGCGTGGCCCGGGGTCGGTCGGCGGCAGCAGCGGATGGGTCCAGTGTCGGGGTCTCGGCCCCTAGGGCAGCCGAGAGATGCTGATGGCCCCTTCCCAGAGCCGCAGGGCCGGGTAGAGGGGCTCCTGGAAGGCGCTGCGGAAGGTGTGCAGGTGGCTCATGTTGCCCGTCACATCGTAGAAGGCCAGGACGCCGGCCTCGTAGTCCAGGAAGATGCCCAGCCGGTCGGGATCGTCGCGGGGCCGCAGGCGGCAGCGCTGCCCGTCGTGGAAGGCCCAGTACTCGAGGTCGTAGCGCTTGAGGCACCAGGACTGGCGGTTGCAGCCCAGGCGCGCGGCGGGCGAGGAGCCGCGGCGGCGCAGCGAGGCGTAGGCCGCGCCCACCCACCAGCCGGAGCCCGCCTCCTGCACGTCCACCTCCCAGTAGTGGCGGCCGGCCGCGTAGCCGTCGCGGCCCAGCACCTGCCACAGCGCGTCGAAGCGCAGCGCGGGCGTCGGCCCCAGCCGTCCCAACAGTCCGCAACGGACGGTCAAGAGGTCAGCCGAGAGGCGCAGGCGCGCGTGCATCGTGTCCGCGTCCAGCGTGGGCGAGCGCGCATCTGCGGAGGGGGCGGGGACAGGCGGTTGGTGGGCGGGGACAGAGCAGAGCCCCGCCCCCGGAAACCAGCGGGTGGGCACCTGTCGCCCAGCAGGCGTTCATTGTAGAAAAACGGGGAAACACAGACATCTCCAGTGGAGAAAAGAAAACCCACCATTTAAACCCTGCCTGCCTCTGGGAAAGTGACTAGGGGACAGGGAAAGGAGAGGAAATGCCTGTGTATATCCTTTTAAACTCAAACTCACTGCCATTGAATGGATTCAGACTCATCAAGACCTTTGATCAAGGTTTTGGAGGCTGTAAATTGAAGCTGGGGAGACTGCCCATCTTTCTCCAGAACATTCCAACCAGATGGAAGCTACTTGCTACAGAATACTCCAACAGAGCCCTCCATATCCTTTATGCCCTTTGGATTTGCTAAGTGCCGTTGAGTCGTAGAAGACTCATAGCGACCCTATGAAACCCTTTGGATTTACTGCCAATTTATAAATCTTTAAAAAAAACCCCGAACCCACAAACAAACCAAATCCAAACCCAAACCTATTACTGTTAACGCTTAGATGTGTGTCTGTCTTATCTTTTTATCTTACTTGCCGCTTTATAGTTTAAGAGTGGTATTATACATGCTTTTGGATCATTTGCTTTTTAAGTTTATTGAATTGTAAACATTTTACACCACATCAAATAAGAATATTTTCAATTTAAAGTGGCAATCTTTTAATTTTAGAATATTCACAATCTCCTCTTCTGCTATTTACAGCCTCTGAAAAACTGCTGAAAGTTCAGCTATGGGTTGGCTCAAACTCAACAGCAATCAGTTGTTTTGGAGTTTTATAAGTAAATATATAACTCATATAAGTATATAAAAAAGACTATAAGGACATAGAACACGGTCAGATTTTTCTTGGAGAAAAGGATTATGAGTAATTTTCTCCCCCCCCCATTTTTCTACAATGAACATGTATTATTTGTCCAATAAAAACTAATAAAAAGGTTAAAGAAAACAATTTGGATTTCAACAGGAGATAAAAAAGAGGGGGCTTCCATTTCTGCTCCCTCCCCCTCTCCACCTCTGCCCTCCCTTCTCCCACCTCTGCCCACTGCCAGGGTCTTACATTTTAAGAAGAGTGATCTCTCTGCAGAGGGTCCCGTTTTCAACATAATACCTGACTTGGCGCTGGAGGAGTCCAAGAGCTGGCAGTTTGTGTCTGTAAGAGATTGAGAGGATAGGAGTGCTTGGTGCTGGTGTAAGCAGTACAAAATTATAAAGTATCCAAGAACTGCCAGTTCACAGGAATCTCATGCAGATATAAGTCAGGAGTGTAAATTCACAGGAACATGACACCTGGTGGACAAGGGCCAATAGCTACAAAGTCATGAGCTTTGCAGGACTGGACAGGCCCGTGTGAGGGAGCCCTGAATCCGGGGAGTCCTGGAGGTCAGGATATGGGCAGGCTCTAGGACAATCCCAGGAATCAGAGCCCAGTGCGTATAAAGGTCATTTTCTGGTCTCACTTAGGTGAGGAAGCACTCCAAGGAAACAAGCTATGGTCCTCGTCCTCAACACCTCACAGCCAGGTAAAACCAAACCAACAAACACCAAAATAATCCCATTACCGCTGAGTCAATTCTCGTGCCTGGAGACCTTCCGTTTGTTTCTGAGGTTGTAAATCTGTGGAGTCTGAACAGACTCATAGCTGACCCTCCAGCAGGTTTTCAGAAGCAGTAAATTGCACAGGAGGAGATTGCCCATCTTTCTCCAGCGCATCTCCTAGTGGATTCGAACTGTGTCCTTTGGGTTGGCAATGGAGCTTTTTACCACTAAAGTTACCAAGGTTACCATTTTTAAAAAATTAGAACTTCTTTTTGTTATTATTTTTGTATTTGAATGTTTGCAAGTCATAGTTTTATTTAGTCATTCACAGACATTTTACTTTATAACATTAACTACAACTGATTAATGTAATTAATTACAACATCCCAAAGTAGAATAGGGTCCAATGGCAACCTCCCAAAGTAATATTCAAGACAGGTGGAGTGGTATTTTTTTCTGTACTAACAGGTGTTTAAGCTCACAGACCCTCCCTACATCCTGCCAACTGTCTTATCAGTATCGCACACCAAATAGTTCTATCTTTGAGCCACCCTGTGTGCCCCGAGTAGAGGACATTATGCTGAGTGAAATAAGTCAGGTACAAAAGGACAAATACTGTAGAAGACCATTGTTATAAAAATGAGGGAATGGTTTACATAGAGAGAATCATTCTGGTATCATTCACAGAAAAGGAGAAGTTGAAAATTAACAGACAATAAACATTTATTAAGATGGCTTAAAAAATAGTGAGCCCCCCAAAAAAAAATAAAAAAAAATAGTGAGCCCATAGCAGCTAGTGTCAATCCATACTAGAGCATGCACAGAAGCATCATTTACTCCCAGAGCAGCCTGGGGAAGGATCTGAGCAGAGGACAGACACTGAAATAGCACACACGCTCCAACCCATAATAAGAGATGTGTTTTAAAATGATTATCACAGAATAGGGTTAGTGGTAAGGAGTGACAGACACTGTCAACCCCAAAGTAAGCAATTTGAATCCACCAACAACTCCAAAGATGGGCAATCTCCTTATGTGCGATTTACAGCCTCTGAAAAGCCACTAGAGGGTCAGCTACGAGTGGGTTCTGACTTGACAGTACACAACAACAGCTTAACCCAGAAGGCTCTGGATCAGAGAGGGGTTAGCAGTGCAACTTCCTAAAAATGAGTCTACCAGAGCTCCCCTTGCAAAATGAAGTCAATACCGTGCTCTTCCCCCCCTTTTTTTCTTTAATTTTTAAAAAGTGTGTGTGTGTGTGTGTGTGTGTGTGTGTGTGTGTGTGTCTGTGTGTACCGTTAAATAGGATCTGACTGGTACAGGAGGAGACTGCCCCTCCTTCTCCAGCAGAGCATCTGGTGGATTCAAACCATGTCCTTGGGGATGGCAGTGCAGCTTCTTGCCACTAGGCCACCAGAGCTCCATGTACTTAAACTTTTAAGTTCTATGCCAGCCAGGGCCTATACCACCTCTGCACCAGCCCCAGTCCCCCAGGCCTACTCCCCTCACCCTGCTTTATATTTCTTTCTTTTTCTCACCAGTTAAAAAAAAACAACTGTTAAGTGCCACAAAGACAGGAAGTTTGCTTTGTTCCTTGGGCCCTGCTCATCCTAGCTTCAGGCCTGAGCTTAAAACAGAGGGGCTCAGCCAAAGTCCAGAATGAATCATTGTAGCTGAGAAGGAATGGATGGATGGATGGATGGATGGATGGATGGATGGATGGATAGATGGATGGATGGATGGATATAGCACTGCATAGCAACCTTTTGCCAGGCTCAATGGGAACTCTGAGCTGGACCCAAAAGAAGTACTTCCCAGCACACACTTGGGGCCGACCCTGCGGGAAGAAACATGCGACTGAGTGCAGTGAGAGGTGAGTGAAATGGCAGAGACCGTTTCTTTCCCAGAATGCATACTGTTGCCACTAATAGGAGGAAGAGACCTGTAGACCCTGCAGAAGAAGAGGAAGGGTGGCTGGCAGCAAGCATAGCCATGATCTGAGGGATGAAGGGAGGTCTGAGGGGCAGAAGCAGAGCAGTGAAGCTGGAGAGAGGCAGGACACGATCTCTGGAGTGGAGGAGGTGAAGCTGAAAGGTGCGCTTGCCTTAATGGCCCAGCCTAAAGCCGGGTATGGGAGAGGTGTGGTTGAGTGTACTGAACTCTGCAGTGGTCTCCAACGGATGGGGTTACAGGGAAGAGTCAAGAACACAAGTTGGCCACACAGCAACTTACCTTCCTTAAGACGCACCTCCAACGGCATCTGAAATAAATTCTGCACAGCTTCCACAAAACTCTTAAAGAGGCTCTTGAGGGGCTCGAAGGAGAGGGGCACAGGGTGGCACAGATCCCCAAGGCTCAGCTGCTGCTGCAACTCTTGCTTGACGGCCGAGTACTCCTGTGTGGAGCATGTGGGTCAGGGCAGCTCCGTGGCTGAGTCCAGCGACAGATCCAAGCTGGAGAACGCCAGCCCCATCGTGTTCAGCCACCTGCCTCAGCCCAGGCCGCCTGGATCCCAGGCCTGGACTGGCCCAGTGGCAGTCTCCCTGATGCTCGTCCTGCAATGCCTGCTCACTCGTCCCTTTCATGTCCACTAGACCCTATTCTGTGCCAAGTGTGTTAGGGGGCAAAGGACTAACTATCCCTGCTCACCATCTTACAGGTGTAGATGACATGAAGCCTTACAGACATTGAACAGGGGGTCTACCTGAGGAACAGGGGTGTGGTGCAGTTAATAATTACCCAGAGGGCGTCTCAATATTGTGTCTCTGTCTCAAGCGGTAAGGAGCTGCACTGCTTACCCAAAGGCAGGTGGTTCGGTTCCACCAGCTGCTCTCTGAGCTAAAGATGGGCAGTCTCCTCCCGTGTTATTGACTGTCTTTGAAAACCCAGCGGAGGGTCAGCTATGAGTTGGTTCCAACTTGACAGCACACAAGACCAACAGCAGCAGAAACACCTCCCCTGCCTTGTCTGGCTGCCTCTGTCAAACTTCTTTAATTTTTGCGGTGCTTAGAATCTCACTCAGGGCCTTCTATAGGGCTCCCTTTGGTTAATACCTGGGGGAAACTATCCCCATCTCTCTTGATGAAGGACCAGAAACAACACTGCCAGCTTCACTGTCACACCCTCCAAGAAGTCTTCCCTGGCCCATCCAGCTTTAGGCACGCCTTGGATCGTTTAGTTGGGCTATACATTGTAAACAGGGTTTCTGAGCACATCTCCCCACCCAGTTGCAAGGTCCCTATGTCCAGCAGAAGGCCTGGCCCAGAGTCTACTGCTCAGTACGGACATACCCTGATTTACTGGCCTCCCCTCGACTGCATCTCAAACATCCTGCACTTTGACAAACTGAATGTGTGTGGCACCCCAGAGTCAAGTAAGTGTGTTGTGCACCACAGAGTCGGAAATGACCCATAGCTGACCGTCCAGTGGGTTTTCAGAGGCAGTAAGTCGCACAGGAGATGGTCCATCCTTCTCGTGCAGGGCAGCTGGTGGAGTGGAACTAACCAAAGCACATGCTCACTTTGGTTCTCTGAGCCACATTTTGGGACTCTCTTATGTCAAACTTTTTCCAATGTTATTGCACATTTAACAGACTGTAATACGACTCAAAATGCAATATAAACATGGTCTAGAACTGATGCTGTATCTCTGAGGTAGGCTGGTATATATTTGATGAATAAACAACAACAATATATTATATTGGTTGTTTTTTTATTTAAGCCTCTTGTTTAGAGTCAACAAGATCTTATGGAGGGCCTTTGTATTTAAAAGTCGGTTGTTATATTCTGGAGAAACTTTCTTCTAAGTGGTACAGCACTCTTCTCTCAGTTTGCTGTCCTGAGGTAACCTGGGGTTGCTATGATGCTGAACCTTGTGCCACTGGGGTGTCAAATGCCCTAATAGTTACCCATGGTGGGCAGTGTTTGGTGGCACTCCCAGTCTAAGACAGGTTTGGAAGCAGTAGTGGCATCCACTCCCTAAACAACATGCCTCTGGAAACACTATGAACTTGGAGAAACGGCTTTTTGTTCATAGGGTCACTGTGAGTTGTGCTCAACTCAACAGCAATCATCAACAACAACAAAGAGGCAAACTGAAGGAATAATGATGAAAAATCAACAACTCTATTGCCACAGAAGAAAAAATTATGGAGAGAGATGAGAAAACTATGAATCTGAATCTGTAGTGTAAGAAAACGATTCTTCTCCACGGAAGAAATCCTTTGAACTCTCAAGCTTAAGCTCATTTCCATAGAGTTGGAACGAACTCATAGTGCACTCTCTTAGTGGGATTTTGGAGGCTATAAATCTCATGGGAAGAGATTGCCTATCTTTGTACTGTGGAGCCGCAGGAGGATTTGAACCACCACTTTTGAGTTAGCAGCACAACTCCCTTCCTAGTTGTGGTTAGTAGGTGTCATCTAGTCGAGTGCGATTCATAGCGACTTTACGAACAGCTGACCTGAGCCTAGCCTGTGCCATCCTCATCATCTCTGACACACCAGAGCCCTCTGCTGAAGTCACCACATCAATCCATCTCACTGAGGGTCTTCCTCACTTTTGATGACCCTCCGTCTTTCCAAGTGCGAAGCCCCTTTCCAAGGAAAAGCCTCATCTAGCGACATGTTGGAAGGATAAAAGATGAAGCATCACTGGTGAGCTCTGGTGGCCTAGTGGCAGAAAGCTGCACTACAAACCCAGAGGGCACGGTTCAAATCCACCAGATGCTCTGCTGAAGAAGGAGGAACAATCGCCTCCTGTACCAGTCAGATCCAATTTGATGGTACACACATAAAATATAATAATAAAAAAAATTTTTTAAAAGATGAAGCATCATCATCTTTGCCTCCAAGGAGCACCCTGGATATACTTTTCCCAAGACATATCTGATTGGCCTTTTAGAAGTCCATGGGCTATTTAGTATTCTTCTCCAGCACCACAACTCAGGCATCCCTAAAAATTATCTCTATTTAATTGGAGGACATTATGCTGAGTGAAATATCTCAGTCACAAAAACACAAATACTGCATAGTGTCACTGTTGTAGAATGGGACTAACATCAGGGTTGGAGTTAGACAGAGAAAAACTGGATAAATTATGTATACTGCATTGGAACAGATGAGGGAGAAAACAGTTTAAAAGCGATATATGATAGGGTATTATGATTATCACAGGAATCCAGAATTAAGGTTGCATAGTGGAGTGCAT